TGGCAAGTAAGTTTTATTTCAAAGTGAAAATGTTAGGAAAAATCGTTTGAGTTTATATATATTCTTTATCAAAAAAATAAAAGTTCTTTGATGCTTGACAAATTTTAAAAAGGTTTGATTAGAAGCTAAAGCTAGGTAAACACTTTAAATGAGAATAAAAATGGTAAAAGGGATTTTTTCCTACTTTATACTGTAATGGTGGGAGTTGTTATCTGGACCCCAAATTAGACAACCCTCCTTACTTGAAGCATCGCATTAACACTATTTTCCTCTCCCACACTTTCATTACATTTATACTTTTCTTTTGTAATACCAAGCTAAACTCAGTAAAAAAAATTAAAAATTGATTTTCGTTTTTTGGGTTTTTTTTGTTTTTTTTGTCATGTTGGCTTTTGAATTGATCTATGACAAAAATATTTTTTCCAATTAATGAAACTTAGTATTGTATATTTTATTTTCTTCGATATAAAAATAAAATACACACTCACTGATTTAAATTTTAATTTTTTTAAATTACGTGAGGAAAATGTCAAATGTGGTGAATGTAAATTTAAACATTTGCTTGTGACATTTGTACTGTAAGTTTGATTCTAATGAAATATTCGTCTCTTCTAACCTTGTGTCAGACGCTAAACTTATTGAACAGACTTGGTTGAAAAAAAAACTCTGTTTAGCTTTACACTTCAGTTTGTCACCTATTAAATTAAGCCAATGAAATAGTGTTTTTTTTTCTTTTTTCTCAACTCTTAAGTAAAACTGAATAATGGTTAAACAGTTTTTTTTTTCCAAATAAACTTACGGAAATTCCTTAGATATCAGGTTTATTACAATTAAGGAATAAATTAAAAAGGAAAGTCCCAAAGGGTATCCATTTACAATTTTGAATGATAGCTAAACAAGTTTTGTAACTTTATGAATGCATAAAAAAAAACTGTTAGCTTTAATTTTCAACAAACTTCATAATAATAATAATAATAATTGAGAAAATTTTTGTGTTGAGCTTGCTCTTAAGATTACAATATTTCACTAATTGCTTATTTTAAAAAAATGTAAACATTTTATTTCAAAAATTTCTAATTGGATAATTTCTTACAAAAAAGAACAAAAATTAATTTGAAAAACAATCCCCCCCACACCGCCAGTTGATTTGTTTTCTATGGCTTATCAACCTTTTGCAGGTTATTTAAAGTCAGAAAATATTTTTAGATTGTAAAAAAAAGTTTTTGTTGGGGTGGGGTGCAGATAATAACGGTTTAGTGATACTAGTGTTACTAATTAACCCATAGCTGGGTGGAGAAGAGGTGGATTCCTATCTTCCTAAGGGTATTTGTGCATAAAGGAATATAAAGAAACTTAGTAGGAATTGGAACTCAGCTCTCTGATTAACAATTCTAACCCATTATCCATTACACCACCTATACATCCATGCTTACAGTACTTGATATTCCCAAATGGTCACTTGTCTAGATACTGATGACTCAATGTTGCTTAACTTCAGTGATTGTACGGGATCACATGTTTCAACATTGGCTGGAAGTCTTACAATCGAACCAGTAAAAAGAAAGAAAGGCAAGATTATATACTGACTGCATTTGTTAATACAGGCTCATTTGGTTTGTGATTGTATAAAAAACATATTACCTACATAGTACAATTATCTTGGTGGGAATAAATTCACACTCCTCCCCTGTTTTTTGAATAGGAGTAGCGATTTATCACTTGTTTCCTATTTAGGATTGGGTTTCTAGTGCCATCTAAAGTCTTTTCATTCTCTTTCACTCCCAGTAACCCCTTGAATCTTTATCACCTTAATTGGGTTGAATTGATTTTTGAAAAAAAAAAAATAATTATGTACTTACCCTGTTCTTATTTTCTGGTTTAATATATATATATAATTATTTTTTAAAAAAAAATATGATTCCATTGCTACATAGGAATTGCCATGTTACAAAAACAGAAGCTAAATACTTCCAATTCAATTATAGAAATTAAATTAAAATACCTAGTTCTGTTTCATCCTCAAGCTAACTTTGAAATCAAAATTTCCAAAATTCACTTGAGGATGAAACAGAACTAGATATTTTAATTTAATTTCTATAATTGAATTGGAAGTATTTAGCTTCTGTTTTTGAAACATGGCAATTCCTATGTAACGATAGAATCCTATTTTTTATAAAATAATTATAATATAGGCTCTACTTGTGTATAGAGCACTGTTTTAGAGGATTATTTATTGCATTCCAATAAAATCAGCTATTCATTTAAATTTTTTTGACATACATTTTGGGTATAATGTCTCACCAATTTCATTTAGTTTCTTTTTCATTTTGTTTATGTTTTCATCACTAAAAAACTAAATGAGATCATCAAGTAGACTATATGCCACCACCACCCCCAACTCCAATAATTTATATTTAAAATTCTCAGCATCCTCTTTCCTTTATGCACAGGTGTAGTCACATCAACGTAAACATCACTTTAGTTCGAGTTAGTACTAAAGAATGAAATGTGTCACACCAAAAACTTTTTACACTTTATATTTTTTTGTTTCACTCTAAAATTGTTCTTGATATATAAAAATTTATATATCGTTTTACCATACCATTGGTATGTAGGTATTTTCAGATACAAGTGAGCCTTGGGTATGACAAACTACATCCTCTCCTCTGATCAAGAGACTGGAGGTTTTGAGAACCACCTCCTTAATTGCTATTGTTCCCAGGTCCACCCTGATCTAGTGTGGTAACACCTGTTAGGGTCCCAGCTATGGGAAAATAGTGAACTCCCAAACAAAGATAAAACCTTATGTAAGTATAGAAATACATTTTAATAGTAAAAATATAAGTAGTACATTATATATATATATATATATATATATATATATATATATATATATATATATATATCTATTTATAATAAATTGACAATACAATTGCATTCAAAATATATTTAGTTGAAGCCATAGAATTGTGTTCAAATTATTCAGATTTCAGCATTAAATAAACTTATAGAGGTTGATATGCCACTAAACAAAACAAAATCAACCAACCAACACGAACGAACGCTTTCATGACATTAATCCATATAATATTTTACAATAATACCCTACTATTTCTTAAAAAAATTAAACTGTATTCCAAAATATAACTTCAACAAAACTACAACATAAATACATACACACATGACCACCACCTAGTAATTATGTCCATGCATATGTATATGCACAAAATCTGAGTATCATCTACCATGTATTGAGTTGTGAAAGCAGAATAACATAACATTTTTATTACTTCAAAGCTCATAAGAAAATTAAATTTGGGCATTAAAAGACCCATAAGGATTTGATATGCGATTAAACCAAAAAAACAATCAAAACATGACAGTATAAAAATACAAGCAATATATTTTTATATTAAAAAAATAATACCAACAATATTTATAGTAAAATTACCAACAATACAATTTTATACTAAAATGACCAACATTATATTTTATCTCTAGTTAAAGGCATACAATTACATTCAAAATATTTAGATTTCAGTATTAAATGACCCATAGATAGATTGATATACCACAAAAACAAAATCAATCAACCAACCAACCAGATACAAGTATCATTATGTAGATTATTATCAACAATTTAAGATGACTTAGCTTTTTTGGCGACTCTTGCAAGACTGAAAGACTGACCATTTTTCATTATACTTTTTGTACTCTTAAGATGCATTTATCATATAGTTGTTTCATGCAGTTTTTTAATCTTTTTTTTTTTTTTTCTATTTGTATCTTTTTAAATGTTGTTCAGACTTGAATTCATTTTTTATTGTTGCTTTTGTTTTTACCTCAATATTTTTATTAACTTATTCAATAACCCTTTTTAAAGGGGACAATTTTTAAGGGCAAATAAGGTCTCTTTTTTTTTTTTTTTTTTTTTTATTTGGAGGGGGGAATAGGTGCTAACAGATGACACATAGATGAAATGCAGCACAAGGCCATTTTTTCTTTTTCTGTAAATGTGTGAAGCCATACACGTTTACATGTGGATGAGTTGCAAAGACTGTCAGTTTTCATTGGCATTCTGCTACAAGAGTCAGGGTGTACCTACTTAGTGCAATGTGGAATTGCTGCCTGGGTGATGGATCCCCATGAACATAGAATGTAAAAAAAAGTAGAATCTCTTTTTCCAGGATTGGTGGCAAAAGTACTGATTGGCCAAACCTATTCCCAATAATCTTTGTAAAACAGGCAATTCCATATTTTTCTATGAAGGGGAGTGGTTGTGGTAAGGCCTTCAGTCATGAAGACCCATTCAGTCAAAAGAAAAATTGATGTATCTACTAGTTCCATTGCCTTTCCAGATAAGTGATTGCTGCAGAACCTTTGACTAGTAGGTCATCACATGCATCAATTATTGTGTTCATAACAGCACCTTGTGGTAACAATATAAACCCTATTCTCACATGGGTATTAAATTTGGCATTACCAGGTACCTCACAGTATAACTGGATTGAATAGGGTGGAAGTCTGGCACTCTGACAGTCATTTTGATGTGATTTGGCACCCACAAATCAGCTAATTTATATGGGTCAACATGAGAATTAAGCATCCCAATGATAGACCAGGTAGCTTAGAGTAAATATTCAACATCTGTAAAGGCAGGTAAGACATCCATTGGCTTGTGGGTATCTTCTGGAGAAGAGAAGGCTAATAACAAAACCCTACATATATCCAGAATGGAGCCCCTAAAGCAGTTGGTGAAAAGGTGTATCTGGATGCTTGGTCAACCCGGGATTTCTATATTTCTTGTCTGTTCTGTTGCCTGGATAGTTGAATGAACATTTTGGAAAAGACTGTTACAAATACCTCATTGTACATGCAGGCATCACTATTGCAGAGGAGAAATAAACTTGACTGATTAGACAGATTAATTTGTTTTTATGGCTTAACAACCCTTTATGGGTTATTTAAAGCTGAAACATATTTCAGATTCTAGGAGGTTGCTTACAGTACCTGGTGTTCCCAAGTGGTTCACCATCTAAGTACTGACCAGGCTCAAGGCTTCTTAATTTTGGTGATCAAATAGGATCCAATTTTCTCAACATTAATTGACCATCGGCCTAACTGTTCAGGTAGAAGATGGAAGAAAAGCTGCATTAGTAAACATGAAGCAATCTACCTTCAGTTATTGTGTCACTGAAAAATCAGCATGTTCGACTTATGCTGTTTCACATCAAACTGAGATATATCTTTTGTCTAATTAGATGCAACCAAAGATTCTCCCTAATTCTCTTTGCTAAAAAAAGTAATTTGCATTGGTCTTGACTTATTTATATCTCTGTTAGGCTTTGATGTTTTTACTCTCCAATAACACCTTATTATTTCAACTTTTCCCCAAAGAGGATAACAAGCCCTCCTCCTTCCAAATATGATCTGGTATATAGACTTTTGTTTTAACTTTTGATATTCCCTCTTAACAGTTAACTCTGATATAATACATCTCTAAGAAAAGAAAATTAATTTATAGTAAGGAATAGCGGAATATGAGTGCTTTGAAGGGAAAAATGAGAAAAACAAAATGTTTTTGTTCTCTTGAAGGCATAAGCATGATTAGAAGTTGGAAAGGAAGCTGACTGAATTCTATTAGCATTTTTAATGCTCTCTTGTTTTTTTTTTAAAGATGAGATCAGAGTTAAAATTCTAAAGAATGATTCATTCATTCATTTTTACAGTTTACCAACCCTTTGCAGGTTATTTAAAGCCAGAAAATATTTTTCATAATAATGGTTTAGTGATACAAGTCTTACTAATTAACTCATAGCTTGGGAGAGAAGAGGTGGAGTCATACCTTTCCCCAAGGGAATTTGGGAGTTTCCTGGGGAATTGGAACTTGACTCTGATTAACAATTCTGGGGACCACCCCCGGCATCCAAGCTTACAGCACCTGGTATTCCCAAGTTGCTACCCATTTAGGTACTGACTAGGCTTGACATTGCTTAACTTTGCTGATTGTATAGGAGCCAGTGTTTCAACGTGATATAGCCATAAGCCCTAAAGAACAAGTGGGTAATAATGATTACTATATTAGCGTAACAAGAAGTTTTTTTTCTCTTTATTCTCATGAAAGTCATAGGTAACATTTTAATGCTAGAAATATACAATGTCTTATTGAAATATTTCCATCTTTTCTCGTGCACTTTTTATGTGTTTTATTGAGAATGACTTCTTAAAACCTAGTATTCAAATATCTGTTATACCTCCAAAAAATAAGAAGCAACATTGTTTTGTTTTTTTATCTTAATGTTATAACTAGAAGAAATATTTCCCAATAGGCAACTCTCCAACTGATTTAAGAGTAATGTGTATTTTCTAACTTTTTGGTCTATTTGTCAAAATTTCATAATTCTAATTTATTTTCCTCTATAAAATAATGTTTTTCACGAGAATTTTAAATGTACTCAATATTTCCTGTAAGCTTCAATCAAAAATAACTGATAAATGTTTAATAATCATATTGAATTAGGAAACTATTTTTTAACTACATTTTTATTCAGTATTTAACATGTTTTTAATTTTAAAAAGATTTTCTTGTTTTTTTTGGTTTTTATCAAGAATCTCTCTCTCTCTAAAAAAAAAAAAAAAAATTGTTTTCTCTTCATCATATAAATATAAGGGTGTTGCTGAAAAGTTATCAGCCTAACCCTAAAATCTGATCAAATGATTTTTTTTTTCTTCTGGGAAATTCTTGATGAGACCAAAAAACTTTCAGTACCTCCTTGTTTTCAAACTTTGAATTTTCTCTCTCGAATATTTGTGTTATCCATTTTAGTTTATATTTAACTTAACTTTTTCAATTTTTTAAAATTAAAATGAGTGTAGTTCTCTTCACTAAATAATTTTTTTTTTTAAATTTGCAACTGTTATGTATTCATTTTATTAGCACTTCATGTAATTATGTATATTGTTAATATGATAAGGAATCATTAGATAATTTGGAACTGACTAATGTAAAGTTTTACAAAGGATCCAATGAAACTATTATCTTTTATTTATTTCTTTATATTGTAAAGAAATTGTTTGCGGCTTTGCATTTGTTTTATTAGTTTAATTCCTCTGCCTGAATAATATTTTCAATTAAAGATAATATTTTATCCATTTATTTGCTTAATCGTGGGGAATGACTTTATCACCTCCAGAAAAGATTTGTAGGACAGGAAAGTCATAATTTGAGCAAATTGTCTTTAGTCATTTGTTACTTCCCTTTACATTAAAAAACAACCATAAGACAATTTTTTTTCATCCTTTTCATTTTATTTTTTAAATGAGGAGAAAAAAATGTGGATGTAACACATACAAAATTTATCTACATATTATTATTATTATTATTATTATTATCACCACCACCACCAACAACAACACAGTTTTTCAAAGATCTAACATTTTGTTCTAGAAAAGTACTAAATACACAGACATTTTAACAAACTTGGACCTTTGTGCCCACAAAAAAAACTAAGAGAATCAAAAGAACGGTTTTTCCCTTAACACCACTATTATTTTAACTACCTTCACACCTTGGCAATGCTTGTTGTTTTCAAAAGCAATCATTAGAATTGTAATAAAACCTAAATATAGGATGAAAGTGAATTTATACATTTTTCTTCTTCACAAAAATAATAAACACTACTTATTTATGAGATTGTTTATTTACAAGAATAATTTTATATTTGCAACATCCTAAAATTAATAAAATTGTAATGCAATGCAATATTTATCATTTACAAATTTATAAAGAAATAAATATGAAAAAGTTTTATTCATAATGTTATAAATATTTACTAAATTATTAAAATATGGGAATCAACTATAAGGAAATCCTTATTTACCATTTTATAAAGTTTGAATCAATTAGCAATTAGCCGATATTTGCTAACCACGCCAATAAACTATCCAATAAATAGTGCTTATTATTTTTGTCAATTCCCAAGAACATAAAAAATGTATAAATTCACTTTTATATGTTTAGGTTTATTTACAATTCTAATAATCTAATTATTCTAAAATAATTTTAAAACAAAATATTGCTGAGGAGTGAAGGTAGTTAAAATAATAGCAGTGTCAAAAGGGAAAGTGTCCTTTTGACATTCTGTTTTTTTTTTTTTTTTTTTTTTTTTATTTTATTTTAATAAAAGACTCACTGAAAACTTTCCCATCAAGCAGGATTTTGAACTATTTCCTGTGGGTGGACTAAATGAGGCCTTTGGTCCCAATAAGAAAACATGAGTTTGAATTGTGCATTGAATCATACCTTATTTGAAAATCATGAACTCTTGAATAACATGTAATTTAAATATCTGGAGAATTAAAAATAAATTTCAAGAATTCAAAAGTTAAATAAAAAGATAAATATTTGGTTTAGCTAACCTGATAGAAGATAGTAAGGTTCCAATTTAGCATTATACTTACTTTATAATTGAACTCCTTCCTAAAGTTTACAAATTTTTTTTATAATATACTCTTAGTCCCATTAATAACAATAGAAAATTTGGTGCCCAAAGCTCAAGTTGTGCTTGATCGAAACAATAACCAAAAGATGAACAAAATAATTTAGTGAATTATAAGATTGCAGGATTTATCAGTTAAAAAAAATTTTTCAGGGCATAAAAAACTGAAGATGAAATGAAAGTTTTATGCTAGAAATGTCCTTATTCCTCTTTTTCTGTAATTATTCATAATTTCTTTCTTTATAACAAAATGGAATATCATTATTTGCGAGTTATACTTGATGTAGAAGAAAAGAATCCATTTTATAATACAATGTCTTATTCAGAAATACTAGTTTATATGGATTATACTTCAGAAGGATCTACATATACAATTTTATCAAAATGGTGTCTCAAAAATAAACCAATTTTAAAAAAAATTTTTTTTTGTCAGGCAGCACCAAATTAATGTACTCTCAATATTTTTAATTGATTTGTTTTTTCTTTACCAGAAACCTTTACAAAATCCCTGGACTGGTTTCTAAAAATTTCATTAGTCACCCACTTCAGATGTTGCTAAGAATAATTTTGTTCTTTAAGCAAGTCCAAGAAAACATTTTCAAAAAGATCTTTCATGATGGTGTTAAGATTTTCAGTTTGACTGAAGTCAAGGGAATTTACAGACTACCCCCCCCAACAGCCTGTGTGTTGCTCTGAAAACAATATATGCAAAATCTCTTTGTTTTCCAATAAATGAACCATCAAACTACACAAAAAAAGTCAAATATTTATATGGTGTACACAAGTTAAATCAAAAATATTGGTAAAAACAAAGAAATCCATGTCCACAATTGTCAATACCATCCAATTCCAATAATGATATTATGTAACTCATCTTTTGAGATAAAGCATCCAACAGCAAATGAAAAGGCTCATAAGGTACCCTTTAACATATGTTGCTTAATAACAAGCGAATTGTGTGTATGAGGCAACCTCTAAAATCACCACTGAAATTTTAAATTTCAAGCTTTACTTATTGTAGAAATCAAGAAATTACTAAAAGCTTCCCTATATAAAAAAGGACATTGATTACAATTTATATTTGATACATTTATCCACAGCCTTATGAAAACTTCCCATTAAAGTTGCAAAATTTTATTTCCTTATTTAAGTTAATAGAGTTCCAGGACAAAGCAACTCTGTAAATTAAGTAGCGTTTGTATTTTTACTGCATAAATTTCATAAGGTTATTCTTACAAGTCAATATTTGGAAGTGAGGAACAAGAAATAGGTTTATACCATAACACCTACAATAAAGCATCAATAAACTATATGTCTATAAAACATACATTTACCCTGAAAGTATAACACTATGTGCAAAATATCTAGTTGAAGGCATAAAACTGCATACAAAATAGATTTTGGCATTAAATAATCCATTTGGATTGATATACTATTAAAGATATACTATTAAAGATATACTATTAAAGATATACTATTAAAGATATACTATTAAAGATATACTATTAAAGATATACTATTAAAGATTGATATACTATTAAAGAAAAACACTGAACTACAACTATGTTGGTTTATTGTGTAGATTTATTTTACAGTAAGTTAGGCATTTTTAAATACATTTTTATTATTTCAACATGCACTTATTGTTAATAATTAATATTTGATGATAAAATCAAAGGAACTCTACTACTTTTTAAGGTTTATTAAAGGAGTTTGACCTGCAAAATGTAATGTCTTAAATTTTATTTGTTTAAACTGATCTAAATTCTGACTAAACTGTTTAAATGTCTGTAGTCTACCATATATACTACAATATTTATTAACTCTTTTTTAATGTTTTTTTTTTTTTTTTCATTTCAGATTGTCCTTACAGGAATCTAAATGTTATCCTCAGTTTGGGAACAGAACTTAGTACAGAAAACTATTGTTGCCTGTCTATTTTCCTTCCTTCTACATGAAGGAGAAAGAACAGATGTATTCTTTGTTGGCTGAAATGCTACCCTTGGACAAAAGAAAAGGGACCATAATAATTCCCCTTGTTTTTAGTCTTTTGTTGCACTTAATTTAATCTGTGGATTCCAATTTAGATGGGTTGAATTTGTCTGCATTAAAATTAAACAAAGAACAAAAAAAAACATTTTTGCACCAGAGAACTGGTGACCTGAACACTCAACTTGCCTCACCTTACTAATCATAATCATATACTTTGGCATCCATTTCTCAGACTTCACACCTTTCCTGTTTTCAAATTGTTGACAATATGAATAGCCTAAAGAGTAAATTCTTGCCAACAGCTGTGTATTCTATTTTTGAGTAAGACTTATCTTGAAGGAATCTAAATAACTTTTATACATTTCACAAAGCTCCTTTTTAATGCAAAATATAGGCTCTTAAAACAACATCCTTGGCATTCCATATGAGGTTTTAGAAGTTCTTTCAACTTGATCTTAATACAAACATCTCAGAGTTGATTTTCAATGACACTTATTTGATACACATTTTTAAAAATGAAGCCAGTAAATGAAGCATTATTCTAATTTGTGTTAGCTGTGATCAACAGTTAATTTCTTCCTTGCATGATCAAAAAATAATTTTAGGTATCAAAGGTGTATCTCCAGTCTTTTCAGATTTATCTCCCCCTTGTTCATTCGTATGATTCAAGTCATCCGAAAAAATACAGTTCAGCAACACTTCATAAACCTCGATTTGAAAAGAACAACACTTGGAAATTTCAGTTTTTACAAATGCAGAACTGATTGTTAAAAAAAAAAGTATTTTTAAGTAAAAATTTTGTCTCTTCTTCATTAGTTAGGGTTAGTGTTTTTATCTACCAGATATCATCTGGCTTTTTTGATTTTGTCGTATACTACAGAGCTAAGCTGCTACTAATTTTTTTTTATAAATATTGTCTGATTTAATATTTAAAACATTCAATTTTTAAATATATCAAAGAATTCTTTATTAATCAAAAAAAAAATTTCTCTGTGAAAATGAGAAGTTTCAATAATTATGATATAGAAGAAAGCTATAAGTTCAATACTTTATAGATATTTTGTATCTATCTTGATATATTTTATATGGTCTATGTTTGTTTAATATTAGTATATATTTTTCAAATACATAAATTATTGAAGAAAAAAAAAACTTTTATCTGCAACAATGGAAGATAGCATCAGCCAAGGAATTACTGCTGCTAACCCATACTTTTGCAATATCTGTCTACGTGGTTTCTCAGAATCTGCTGAATTAGAAGCTCATGCTCGGGAACATGAAGCTGAGGAGGCAATGAACAATTACTCAAACACACCTAATGTCAACTCACCTAATGTCAGTCAAGAAAGCATCAAACTCGCCCTTCCTACTGGTATCGTAAACCCTTCTCTTGTAAATGCGATTGTTGCTTCAAACACATCTGACCAGAATATTGTGACCTCTTGTGTTGACCCGAATGTTGTGGCTCCTATTGTCATTGTCAACAATGTTGTGAACTCTGAAGTTGTTACTCCAACCAGTCCTTACACCTGCAATGTCTGCCAGCGCGGTTTCTCTCAGCGGTCCCACTTAGAGACCCACTCACGCATCCACTCAGGTGAACGTCCATTTGAGTGCAACCAGTGTGGGGCAGCGTTCTCCCGCCGTGGTAACCTGGTGCGCCACAGGCTGTCACATGGCGGCGAACGCAAGCACAAATGTAATGTGTGTGGACGCAAGTTTTCTCAGAAGTCTCACCTACAGGTTCATACCAGAGTGCACACTGGCGAGCGTCCTTACAAGTGTGACCGATGCGGTTATGCCTTTTCTCGCAATGGGAATTTGGTACGACATAAAAGGGCCAACAAGGGGGGCAAACGGAAATACAGTTGCATTGCTCCTTCCCTTCTAGAGCAGCAGGAACAGGATCTGGGTGTCACACAACCCCAGCAGGTTGCCCTCGTCCCTGTAACGCAGCCTCAGGGAGAAGTCCAGGTCCAGGTTCAACCCCAGCTGATTGGAATTGCTGAAGTTCAAGCTGGAGTTGGTGATAGTGTTGCCAAAACTGCTAACCCAAAAGAAGTAAATCCCCAAGGAGAACCTGAAACTAACAAAAATGACCAAACTCCTGTTGTTGCTACTGCAACTAATATTGTTCAACTTGGAAGTGTCCCTTATCAAATCATGGCTACTGTGCCTAGTCAACTGGCTACGGTTCAGCCCATTGCAAGCCTCCAACAAATGCCCAATGTCCCTCATCAGCTGGTCACTGTTCCTCAACATATCAGCATTCATCACTTGACTGGTATCCACAATCTCGCCAGTGTGCCACTACATATAGATATCCCCACAACGTAAATCTTTGTTCTTCTTACTTCCTGACTTTCATTTTCATCTTAAAATTTATTGCTAGTCAGTCTTTAAAGCATCGTGTGTGTAAATTTTGTGATAGTCCTGCAAATTCAGTTCTTCGGAACAATGCTGTATTCAATTGTTTTGTTTTTTTCTTCCAAGTAGAACAATTTGAATAGCCAATCATTGAGTATCTTAATAGGTTTTCCAATGCTACGAATTGATATTCTTGGATCAGTCCACTTATTTATGATGTTTTGTTTCAACATCAAATTCTAAATTAATCAGTGCAACATACCAGATGAAAATGAAACCACTTTGGCTTTTCTTTTGAATTTTTGAACTGAAACATTTCCAAAAGGACAACTTCTGTTGTCTGAAAATCAAACAGAAGTTCTCTACATAAGTTGATTTTTTTTTTCTCTTTAATACCAACATACTATTTAATTTTGATGACAACTATGCAAGTTCAAACACTGTTGGCTTCTGTGGGATAATCTCTGGTCATTTACAAGCATGACAACAAAGTGTTTAAGATGACATGTTTATTTTTTACATTTACTGGATTAATGACTATCAAACCTACACATAGTATATTGGTAATGATGCCAATGTGCTTATGGAATGTTTTCAATCTCTGAAATTTTTTGCTTGAGTTAGCTGATGCTACATCTCACAGAAAAAAAAAAGCATAGACCTACTGTTGCATAGACAGTAAACTTGCCCTTAAAAAATGGCTTCAACTCATCTCCTGAAAAGAATCTCTTAAACTATTGGAAAAGCAAAAATTATGTCCTTGTACCTAAAAGGCTTTTAATTTAATATGAAAAGAATTTTGCTGGGTGTCAAGGATTTTAAAAAGCTGTTGTTTTTTTTGTTTTTTTTGTTTTTTTTTTTACCATATTCAGTAATGGAACACCCCGTCCCCAAAATACTAATTATCAATTGCTTTGCCTGCCTCAATGTTGATATACTTGAATTGTTATGTTTATAGAGTATAAAATTATCCAAATACAAAAGAAGTGCTGTTAACTTGTACCCGGAAAGAAAAAAAGAGGTCAAATCTGTTAATGTCAAATAACCAAAGAGTTTTGTGCTATCATGAAAACATTAAGTAGACATTTTGTCTCTTAAAATTTTTTCTCTTAAAAATTTCCTTCTGTTTGTCTTTCTCGTTAATGTTATTTGACTCTGCACTTCCAATTTACTAATCACCAAGCATCGATTTTTTTTTTTCTTTTTTCGTATCATATCTTTAATTCTGTGATTGTACAAATCAATCTCTTTATATTTATAGCATTATCTTAATATTCTTTGCAGCATTAGATTTCCAACTGTTCAATATTTTTTTATTTTTATCATCTCCTAGGGTTATGTTACAACTTTTTTTCTTATTTTAATGCAAAGTGTATTTTCAAAATGTCCACTTCTTTATAGTTTCACTATCCATTTTTGACTAGCCTTTCAGCTTCTCTTTCTCTCGATCCAAATTTTGTAGGTCATGTGTCCTCCAGCCATTCAATTAAATTACTTAATTTAAGAATAAAGTAACTTCCAAGAAGACTTGAATTTGCATCCCATGTCACAAGAGTGCATCTTTCATGGACAGTGCTTTTAACCAATTCGGTCGTGGAAGGTTATTGTTAGAGGACACACATTTACAAAGCATCTGCTTTATTTTTACTTCATACTACTCACCCTAATGGTGGGAGAATATTTGACTTTGAATCTTGTGATAAAAATAGGATTGCCACATGAGAAAATTAAAAATACAGGCACTTTTAAAATCTCTCTCTCTCATATATATATATATATATATATATATATATATATATATATATATATATATATATATATATATATATATACCCCCACACACACATACATGCCTACACACCCAGACCAATCCAATATACTATATAAAAGGAAAGACATAAGTTAAAAACATAAAGCAATGATTTTAATGGCTTATGAGGAACATAAAATTATTTAATGCAAGTTAAGAAAGTCTGATTCAATTTTGATGCAGAACTGCATGGCAGTTGGCAAGCAAAATTGTAACAGTGTTGCTGTCCTCAGCCAAACATAGCAACTGGACAAGTTGCACACACATCAGTTTTGTGTAGACCTTTAGCAGCACTAGTTTCCTCATTACATTTGGGTTATTTTCATCAAGAAAATCTGAGAAAAGAAACTATAATTACTTATAAAGTTATAACCAAGAACCATAAGAAGGTATTAAAAATATTTTTATTACGAAATTTGAAAATGTACTAAATATGGGACATTTGGGGTGTCCCTGAAAGGTGAGTACAGGACATGGGAACAAAATTATCCATTACGTGATATGTCCAGTATATTAGGGACATCTGCCAATATTAAATCCTAAAGCAACAATAAGATTTAAAAAAAAAAAAGACTAGTCAAAAATGAATAGAAATAACCTTAAATTTCATTAAATGATGATTACTGTATTTCCCACGATATAAGATACACTTTGGTTTTATTTTTTTCTTTAAGTAAAAAAAAAAAAAAAAAAAAAAAAAAACTCCTCTAAAAATTGCTCTGCATCGTATACCCTTATGGTTGGGTGTGGATAGGTTTTAGGGTAGAGGTTACTAGACATAGACTAATGCCTAAACACTCCTGTTTAAACCAAGAATTAAAGATATATATATATATATATATATATATATATATATATAATTTATTTGAAAATTATAACAAATATTTTATAAAATCACTACAAAAATAGCCATTTTGTTCAACATTTCTGATGTCTTAAAAAACTGGTTTTTTTTGTGAAAAAAACTTTCTTTTTTTTTTTAAGACACCATCAGTGTTGAAATAAAATGGCTATTTTTGTAGTGATTTTATAAAATATTTGTTATAATTTTCAAATAAATTATATTTGCTCTACTCAGTATTGAGCACTTTTAAAAATAGTTTGGTTATTGGAATTTATTCCATATACACCAATCCTATACGATATATAATTATCAATGATTGAATTATGATTAAAAAAAAAATTTTTTTGAATCTGTTTTATTTTTACCTAAATATTCTTTACCAAAATATAGGTGCCTGTTAACTTTTGTTTTCCATGCTTCAAAAAGATCTTCATCTTTTTATTATCTCCCTTCCACAATCGTACGTTTTGTTTTTTTTTTGTTTTGTTTGTTTTTTTATGAACACTCTCAAAGCTATTTTTAGTATGTTATTTCATTTTCCAATGCCCTTTATTTATTTATTTATTTATTTATTTATTTTTTCTGTTACTCTATCAAAAATTGTTATTTTACATGTGTGCATAAATTAAATTATACATTGTGCACTCTGTCAATATTTTGATGAAATAGCAATGCTGCTCATTGATTTCTTTGACCTAATGTCCACATCTTTATTATTAATGTTCAAATTGCTGCATTTCTGGCAGGATTATCTCAGACAGTTTTTATAATGTTAGCTTTTTTGACAAGTGAAGTTCTACTGCAGTTGAATATTTTGTTCCACTTGATAGCTTGAAGCAAATATCAAATTACTGAATTTCTCCCATTGGTGAAATTTACCTTTTTAGGCAGAAATATTTTAAATAAACACCACATCTCCCATTTATAGTTTATCTAATCCTTGTATGATTATTTAGTTTAACACTGACTAAAATATTTCTCAAGGTCATCATTAACCTTTTTATTAGCTAATTTTATTTTTTTTTTAACCTCATGAAAGATATTTTATTTATAAAAAAATAATATCAGTTTTTTTCACTTAACAGTGTAACACAAAATCTTTATTTCTGGTCTTGTATCAGTCAATTCTTTCAATCAATGTATAGAACCCTTTTTTACTCAAATAGGGAACATTCATATGTTCATTTATATAAAAAGGGAGAATGAATCCTATTCCCCTTCTCCAGGTAAGTAAAAAAAAAAAGTCTCTTCTTTTTCTCTCTTTTCAAGCACATCAAATAATTTGATTTTGTTTACAAAATAGAAAAAATTTTATGTAATATTTCAATTATGAAAGTGAAATTTCAAAAAGTATACATTACTAAGTTTTCATATAAATTTACATGAAAAATGGTTTCTGTCTGAATTGTTAGGGTGAGTTATCATTTATGTTATTTATATTCAGATTATTGTCCTCATCTTTCTTATTATCACATTTCTCAATGAACACTAGAGGGCGCAATGGCTGAAACATTATAACAACAAAGATGAGGACTATAATGAAAAACGGTACTGTATTTCCATGTTGCAAATGTCATTTTTCTTCAGAAAGCAACTTTTAATTTAACTTTTAATCCAAACTTGTTACTCAGCCATCAAATTTAAATTGGCATTGCTTGAATTCATTTAACATTATTTCTATATACGAATATAAACAGTCACGAATAAAATAGCCACAAGTAGGATTCAAACCCACACATCCAATCAGTGTGACACAGCTTATGAAAAAAAAAAATTGCTTCACTTAATCATAACGACAACTTGATAGCTTATTGCTTTGTCCCAATTGTTGATAAAAATTCATAATATAACAATATTGTAAAATGCATAGAAATAGGTAAATACAGAGTATTTCATTAATATTGGTTGATATTGGCAAGTTATTTGATAAATAAATATTTAAGCTTCATAGTTAACCCTGGCTATGTCATGCATATTATAGCAAACAACCCTAATTCCTTTTTTATTCCATTAGTGAGAAGTAAGTTCCACACAAGCAGCTTCTTCCACTGAACCACAGCTTTGTGAAACCAACTCCCCAAAGAATTCTTCTCTGGTCACTACAATCTTAACCTGTTCAAGTCTAAGGTCAACAGTTAACTTCATCATGTATCCTCATAAACTGTGCCTCTTATTCTATAACCCTTTACGTTGAGTGGCTCTTGGGCCTTGTACAGGGTGAAAAAAATCATTGTTAAAAAAAATTTTAGATACAGAATACCAAATAAATTTTTATAACAAATATATTTATTTCATCAAATAAATGCATGTTCCTTTTATTGCTGCAGAATGAAATTTGGTATATATAGTAAATTTCAAATGTTAGGGATTAAAAGATGATCAAAACAAAAGGTGCCACAAAATGTCTAAAATCAAAATAAATTACTAATTAATACTTTACCTTTTGTTAATCAAGACTGCTTGCAAATGTTTCTTGTAGAATGACAAATTTCAGGTAGCAAATTTTTAACTATTCTTAATGGCATACTTGCTTCAAATCAGCAAGATTAGACAATGCTTCCCAACCTGATTCTTCAGTTCTGTCCATAATTTTTTTTTCTTTTTATTAGCATCAACTCTGGGAATTTCTTTCTCTTTGATTTTCTTTTTGAATTTCTCTTTGATTTTCTTTTTGAATTTCTCTTTGAATTTCTTTTTGAATTTCTCTTTGAATTTCCTTTTTGAATTTCTCTTTCTTTTTTTCTGCTCTTTCTTTTTCATTTTATTTTTCTTTTTTTTTTTTCACCTCTTCTTTCATTTTCATCTTTTTTCTTTTCTCCTTTTTCTTTCTTTTTCTTCTCTTTTTAAATTTTATTTTTCATCTATTTCTTTCTTTTTCTTTCTTATTCTTTTTTTCATTAACTTCAAATCTGGTGATTCTTCTCTTCTTTTTCTTTTTTTCCTTTCTCTTTCTTCTTTACAGTGTGTTTGCAACTATTGTCTTGTTAAATTACCCAACCACACCTCATGTTGATTTTTTTTTGGCAAAAATGAAATGTTAATTCAGAATTGCATAATACTTGACAGTTCATACTTTCTTCAATTATATAAATATCTCTTATACATGTAGATGAAAAAGCTCCCCCACATTTTGATATGCCACCACTGTGTTTCATGGTGGGTATGGTATACATGGCCCAGAAGTGTCTTTAAGTTCCTCCACACCCACAGTACTTTTGGAACAGTCGCACAGATTGTTCAACTGTCAAACTCTCTGCCTCGGCAGAGAGGAACTCAAACAAAGCTTTGCCACAGGGAAAAGTTTCTTTCCGGGGAGGTAGACAGTCCCTGAACCCGTTTAGGCGGGTTCAAAGGGAATATTTTTGGCCAAGCCTATGGGCTCGGAGAAACCCACGTTAAACTCGGCCTTGTGCCACATACATTCCTTGTGGGGGGACTGTTAAAGATAACACCCACAGTACTTGTATAGTTATTACTAAATTGGTCGATTTTGGTTATGTCTGACCACAAAATGTTGTTGAAATCTTTTTTATTCATATGTTCATTAGAAAGCTTAATGTGTTTTTTATTTTTCTTCATTGATTATACTGAGGTCGTGTTTTTATATCCTGTCCAATCACAATGTTTATAACAATTGTCTTTTGGTCAAGCTCAGGTCATCTAACAATTCTTTGCAATTAATTCTTGATTCCTGTTTGGCTCTTCAAATAAGTTTCTCAAAATCTTTTTTGGAATACCAATTCTTGGTTAATATACAGCAATTTCTTTTGTCCCATTCCTGATTTATATACTGGACTAAGCTTATCTGATTGTTGAACTGTTTTAAGAGATTTCTGTAAACCAGTGTTTCCCAATGGGTATTAGTACCCCCTTGTGGTCTTTATGTTGAAAGGTGTGGCACCTTGAGTTTTTATTTCATTTGAGTGGCCATGGGCATTTATCCATATTTTTTTTTTTTTTTTTTTTTTTTTTCAACTTTTCAAAATTTATTCAATATTGGCTACAAAAGAAAATTTCTGAAAGGAATCTAAAGTTGTGGGAAGCTATCAAACTTTTCTCCATTGCTTTTCCAACTTTCTATACAGCGGAATGTCATTTTTACGTAGGCAAAGGAACCGCCTGCAAATTACAAAATGAAGAGATCTACGATTATTTCTAAACAGCATGGAACCTAGAGTCAGAGCCTTAGCCAGTCGGCACCAAAGTCAGCTATTGCATTGAAATAAGTTGTTTTTAGCATTTTAGTCATAGGTATTTGTAATAGAAATGAAAACAATATTAAAATTATTTTTGAACTAATGCCTAAGTGTTATCTTGCTATGAAATATGAATTCAGTATGATATTCAAAATTTGATGGGGTGGAGAGTATCATTGTCAAAAAAAAAAATTTGTGCCCATGGGGGTTGAAAAAGGTTGGGAAACACTGCTGTAGACTTTTCCTTATGTTCTTCCACAATATTATTTCTGACTTCCAAAGTATGTTCTTTTGTCTTTGATATGACAGATGTTAGCAGTACAACATTTAGAAATTAGATAATAAATTGTCAATAACAGAAACATGGAATCACTTTACATAATGTAACAAAAATATCTCAAAACCTCACACCAGGAAATATGTAAATTCAATAATTAATATTATAATAATTATTAAAAAAATTATTAAAATTACAGATACATTTACCCCCTCAGTATTCCTATTTTTCAAATAATTTGTCATATATACAATTGAACTGCAGTAATCATTTTCTAATTCTGAACAATTTGAAACTTGGTATATGTCATCCTGTTGCCATAAATTTACATGCATTTTATGAAATAATTTCTTTTTTTTTTCTTTTTTTTTTTTTTTATACATAACAGATATTTATTTGATCCACTGTATATTAATAATGTTTTCTTTTAAATATTCCTATAAATTCTAGAATATTTCAAAAATTGATCTATGTATTCAATAGTAATATAAATGAGGTAAATGAAAATAAATAACTGAAAAGTAATAGCATTGTTTTATTTTTTTTTTTTTATATATTTATAATTTTTTTAATATTTTAACCTCTGAAGAGTGATATTTATTAACTTTATTTGCCTCAAAGTCAAAAAATATATTCTTTGACTGCAGCTGACTATTAAACATGTAAATTTTTATTTAATATTATAAAATATATATTCATACATATATATGTACAGCCATGTCGGCAATATTGAAAGTTATGAGTCAAATGAAGGATTTTTGTTTTGTCTACATCAGTGGTTCTCAACCGGGGTCTACATGTAATATAGTAATATTTCCAGGGGTCCACAGGCAAAACTCAATTGTTGTGTTAATTAAAAATAGTAATAATAATTATTATTATAATTATAGTAGAATATTTTATTTGTATTAAATTAGTTTTCATTTAAAAATAAAGCTTAATCGTATACTATTTCTTTGATAATTAAAACCTTAAAATTTATATTAGTGAAGAATAGAAAATTGTTCTTATGTCCAATAGCTATGAAGGGGTCCACCAAGATAAAAAGAAGGGGAAAGGGGTCCATGGGTAAAACAGGTTGAGATCCACTGGTCTACATAATTAGAAATAATAAATACAGACTGCGGTAGAAATATCTCCCACATTTTAAAGGTTGACAAAAGGACTGCTATAACAAATTTATTTCACTGTTGCTTAAAACAAAAGGCTACAGTTTTTATCCATTCGGTTTTTAAAATTACATCCTCCAAATGCTAGTCTCTATTTACCATGCACTGTTGTAGATGATTTCTAAAGTTTTCCATCACTTAGACATTTGGGCACTTTGAGGTCTTCCAGGTGGCTTTCTTTTAAGTGCTGAACCTGTGGCCCTGAAATTTTCAACCCGTAACAGTATCAATTTTCTATCAAGAACAGAATCATTTCGACGTGACACAAAAAAAAAAAAAAAAATGGTAAGATATTAGCTAGATAATTAGCTTGCTTAAGTTCACAGGTGACAGTTTTAAAATGTGGGAGATATTTCTGCCACACCCTGTATAATAAAACATGAAAAAACATTTTCTCCATAGGGTCCTGAGCTTCCTGAGTCCACCTTGAGAACATCTCTTTTCACATTTAGATATCCTAATAATTTCTTGAAATGAAATTACAAAGATGGGATGAGAAAAACAAATTCTTAAATAATGAAAACTTGTAGAACTTTTAATCAAATCAAAGACAAATTCATAAAAACATTTCTAATATGTTTATAAAAGTTATTGAAATCACAAACCTCTTTAAGTTCACTTGAATTTTAGTTTAATCAAATTAAACTTTTGCTTTTGTACCAAGAAAACTTCTTTGATTGAATTGTGCCAAGAACTTTGTTCAGATATTTTATTAATGCAAAGAACATCTGATTGGACAGGCATGATTGATCTTGGATCCATTAGTGCAGGTCGATTTTTGGAACCATGGTATTGCACTCAATTTGAGAGTTGGGGTTTCACATGATAAATAACGATAGAATACATATTTTTCCAAATCGTTACCATTTTTCGAGGAAACAAATTTAAATTTAGGTTCAAAATCATATTGTTGGAATTTCATTCCAGTGATCAGCAAATGCCTTATAGTACGGCCTTATAAAATTTATAATCTACTGAAGCTTTACAAATTGTATATGGACAAGAAGCATGACACAAACACATTGTGCCATCAAATAAGACCTTCATTTACTTCAAAGGGAAATTATACTGAAAAATTTAGATATATTATGATGTAATATGTTATACAGTGCTGTAGTTTTAGTGTGATTTTCAATAAAGAATGCAAATTTAAAACATTTTGGCTTATTATTTGTACCCAGAAGTATTATACACCTTTTTTATTTTTTTAATGATCTAACAAATCTTACTCATTGGATCACCTTTTCTTTTTTTTTCGTAATCTTACAATTTTTTTTTTAGTTTTTACTTACCGAATACAATAAAAAAAAAAAAATTGCATATTTTGCTTGTGACTCATAATCGGAATTCTGGTTTGAATATATTTTCCATTCAATGTATCTAATTTCAAAAGATATTAACTTTATTTGGATTTATTCTTTCAATAGTAAAATTTGAAGTCAGTTTGTAAGCAAAACCTGCATAAATTGGTGAACGCTAAGAATCTAATTTTTGGTGTCAGTACTTATCACCTCAAACCCCAGCTTTCATACTGAGTGCAATGTTGGTTTTCTAAAAAAAAAAATTATCCATGGCAACTATTAAGGCTGGATTGAACTTTAGCAAAGATTTAAATGCAAGAAAGTTCAGAAACCTGAATCCCAGGAATCATCCATGATTTCACAGGTGCCAATACTCTTTTTTTCCTTTTTTTAGATTTGCCATCACAAACAATAAATTTTTTTGTTTTCCTATCTGGACTTCAACATTACAGATCACATTTACTGCTGACGATGTAATGTTGCATAGAGAATCCAGTTTCATCTGGAAATACCAAATTTTGTACTAGTATATAGGATATATGCCTCAAGTCTAGAACCCAAGCTGAGTTTCCCTCGGTACATTTTTTTTGGTTTTTGAACCAACTGAACTATTTAATGATATGACTTAGCATTAATCTGGATTATCTTATTTTATCAGGTAGATACTCCATGGTAACAGGACAAAATCGCAGTGGACAAAATTCCATTCTCTTAAATAAAAGTCTCATATATAAAAAGAAACAAATTTGAAACAGAAGTGGACAAAATTCCATTCTCTTAAATAAAAGTCTCATATATAAAAAGAAACAAATTTAATGTTGAAAATTGAATGAACTGTTAAATTTTAATGTCAAATTGAGATGATGATGATGATAATAATAATAATACCCGATATATACACTTAATATATACAAATGTACACTCCAATGTCAAATTGAGACTATAAACATAATATCCAATATATACACTTATTTCATGCTTCATATTTATACATATATCCTTCATAGCGGGGGCACCTCCAGCCAGTGTAATGGTTAGCAGGAACAATTACGACTGAGTAGTGAGTTCGA